CTCTCAGCGATCGGGGGGCGGGGGGTCCTGGTCGCGAAACGCAGAAGTGTCGTCGCTTTTGGACTCGCGGGGCGTCTTCGCGTCTCAAGTCCTTTTCGCGAAACGCCGAACTGTCGTCGCTTTTGGACGTGCGTTGGGTCGCCGCGTATGAAAAGTGTCCACGGTCTCAGGGATCGGGGGTGTCCTGGTCGCGAAACGCAGAAGTGTCGTCACTTTTGGACTCGGTCGCGAGTCGCTGAAGAGAGGAGAGAGGAGAGAAGAGAGAGGAGAGAAGAAAGAGGAGAGGAGAGAGGAGAAAGGAAAGAAGAGAGCATAGAAGAGAGGGGAGAGAGAGGAGATAGAGGAGAGGGGAGAGAAAAGAGAAGAGAGAGGAGGGGGGAGAGGCGAGAGGATGACCCTGGACCTGAGTCTCCTGATTGGTTTCGCGCGTGGGGTGTTATCGTCATTGCGGTGTACGCGTCACGTGTCTGCATTCGGGTGCGTGGATCCTATCAGGCTATTGTTTTTATATGTATTCTTTGTTTTCGGTGTTCTTTGTCCCAGGACTACTACAAATTGCAGCATTTGGAGCTCTTGAAAGGCTGCCAATACTGCAAATTGCAACATTTGCAGCTATTGAAAAGCTACGCAAACTGCAAATTGCAGCATTTGGAGCTCTCGGAAGCCTGCCAGTACTGCAAATTGCAACGTTTGCGGCTCTAGAAAGATTTCGAATACTGCAAATTGCACCATTTAGAACTCTTGAAAGACTGCCAATACTGCAAATTACAAAATTTGCGGCTCTTGAAAGGTCACCAATACTGCAAATTGCGCCCTTTAGGGTTAAGGTTGGGGTTTAGGGGTTTTCGTGGCTTTTAAGGTGTATAGGGTTTAGGGTTTTGAAGGCTTTAGGGTGTTTAGGGTTTAGATTTTTAGGGCTTAGGGTTTTTAGGGTTTAGTGTTTGTAGGGTGTTTAGGTTTAGGGTTCTGAGGATTTAGGGCTTTCAGAGCTTAAGGTTTTTAGGGTTTAGGGTGTTAGGGTTGTAGGGTGTAGGGTTTTAATTGTTTAGGGTTGTCAGGGATGTTTAGGGTTTAGGGTTTGTAGCGTTTAGGGCTTTTAGGATCTTTAGATTTGATAGCTTCTTATGTTTTAGGGTTTAGGGTTTTAGGGTTTAGGACTTTTAAGATGTGGGGTTTGTGGGGTCTTTAGGGTTTAGGATCTTTAGGGTTCAGGGTTTTCAGGGTTTAGGGTTTGTAAGGTTTACGGATTTTTGTGTTTAGGGTCTTTAGGGATTAGGGTATTTATGGTTTTGTGGTGTTTTAATGTGTTTTAGGGTTTTGTGCTTTAAGGTCTTTATTTGTTGGTTGCTTAGGGATTTTAATGTTTTCAGCTTTTAGGGGTCTCGGGTTTTGAGGGTCTGGGGTTTTAGGGCTTGGGGTGGATTAGAGCGTTTAGAGTTTAGGGTTTTTAGGGCTTGAGGAGTTTTTGGGTATAAGGTTTTTCGAGTTTAGGGTTTTTTAGTGTTGAGTTTTTTTGGCTTCGGGTTTGTAGGGTTGGCGGTTTAGAAGTTTTAGGGTCCAGGGTTTAAGGTTTTTTTTCGGATTTAGGGCGTCTTTTTAGGGTCGTAGGGTTTAGGGGTTTCAGTGGTTTTATTGTGTTTTAGGGTTTAGTGTTTTTAGTGTTTAAAGATTGTAGGGTTTAGGGTTGTCAAGGCTTTTAGGGTTGAGGGTTTGTGGCGTTTAGGGCTTTTAGGGTTTCTAGAGGTTAGGGTTTCTGGGGTGCAGGGTGTTCAGGGTTGTTAGGGTTTTAGGTTTATGAGGTTTAGGGTGTTGAGGGTTTGTGTTGTTTAACGTTCTTTATGTTTGTAGGGTTGAGGGTGTTCAGGGTTGAGGGCTTTTAGGGTTTAGGGATTCTAGGGTTTAGGCTGTCTAGGGTTTGGGGTCTTTAGGGTTGAGGTGTTTTAGGGTTTAGTGCGTTTTGGGGTTTAGGTTTTTAGGTGTTTGATGTTTTGGTGTTTTTTGGGCTTGGCGTTTTTAGGGATTTTAGGGCTTACGGCTTTTGAGGTTGTTAGGGTTTTGAGTTTTGAGGGCTTTGGCCTTTCAGAAGCTGCAAGTGTTGTACTTTGCAGTATTGGCAGTCTTTCAAGAATTCTAAATGCTGCAATTTGCAGTATTCGTAATCTTTCCAGAGCCGCAAACGTTGTACTTTGCAGTAATTTGCAGTATTGGCAGCCCTTCCAGAGCTCCAAATGATCTTTTTTGTAGTATCCGTAGCCTGTCAAGAGCCACAAATGTTGTAAATTGCAGTATCGGCAGCCTTTCAAGAACTCCAAATGCTGCAATTTGCAGTTTTCGTAGCCTTTCACTGGCCACAAATGTTGTAATTTGCAGTATTTGCAGCCTTTCAAGAGCTCCAAATGCTGCAGTTTGCAATATTCCTGGGACGAAGAACACCGAAGAAAAAACAAACAAATAACTGCATTCCCCACCCTAAACAGCCCCAAGCCTCAAACCACGCCGAATAACACGGAGCGTAATAATCAGCTGCAACGACCCCAGGCATGACGTCGCCTTCAACGAACCGAAAAACCTACATGAACTCCGAGCACCCTAAACCATCCTGAACCCCAAACCCCGACCCCCTCAACAATAAACCACCTCTAAGGCTAAACCACCCCAACACCTCAACACCCTACACCCTAACAAAAGCCTGAAGAGCACTAAACAAACCCAGACGCTACACAACCCAAAACCCTCAACCCCTGGCACATCCGTTCCACCCACTCGTTCAGGTCGTGCGGGGGCATACTGTCGTGGACAAGCGGATGCAAAGTGCCATGCTTGAAACTGTTGGCGTCATGGTTTGGGACCATGGGGTCTGGAGGTTCACGGCACAAATGACCGGATGTCGATAAGTTTCCTAGTACAGTAAGCAAGAAATCGTGAGTCCCGGAGCTCCTCGAGTATAAAGCCGGGCAGCTGATCCGTTTTGTTTGGGTGACACGAATTGGCTTCCAGGCACGGATCTGTTTTGCAACACTGGATCCTGTTCCAGGATCCGTTTCCCGACACTGATTCTTATCGGCGGGCCTGCTATCTGCAGCTTCCATGTTTTCGTTGTGATACCGACCGTCTGCTTGTGGTACGGGGTTCATGGTTATGGAAGCGAGTAGTCGCAAACCCCCTTGGACCTCCCCCCCACCCCTCGGCAACTTTTCTGCTCCACCGGCATGGTAAGTCGCATCCTGACCATGAGCCTCCATGCGAGCCGAGGCTGTCCCGCACTAGCATTTACAATCATTTACAACTACGCAGGTGCATTACGCTCTACATTGCCCATCAAGGAACCTAAGATAGCCTGTACAATCAGGTACAAACATGCCCATCATAGGGGGGGCACAGAGAAGTTTGCATGATATTTGCTGTCCCCGCAACATCACCTGAAAATGGTTTATGTGGGCCGTGTCATGTGGTACGAAGAATCCCAAAGCCAGGAGCAAGACCTGTCGCAGGGACTCCCACGGACGCGCGGTGAAGTTGTCACGCGGATGAACGCGGATGACGGTTTGCCGAGTGCGAGGATGGCTTGTCAAAGGAGCAGGGCATGCCCGGCATTGCTGAAAGATTCGGGACACCACCAGCTCAGCCACGGATTTCGTTCATCGTGATGGCCAGCAAGTGAGCAAGAGTGGCAAGCAATGCAGCTATGCTACGATCAACCAGACACAGGCCTCATGTTGTTGATCTCGTCGCTCTTTCATGTGGTTGGACGTGTCCATCATCAACACCTTCAATGGCAAACCAGTGGATTATTTGGCTAGTATGCATAAACATTCAAGAACGTAGGCCCTGGCCATGTCTATATTCTCCATCGTGACAAATGCGCTGATGATTGTGTCAGGCTGCAGGAATGTCTTGTAGAGAGCCACCTGCAGTGCTGCTCTCAGATCAGGGGCAAGTCAAGTGGGCCGCCAAGTTTGATTGCAAAGGAGCGGGTGTCTAGCCGAGAGCCAGACCCAAACTCCCAAAACGGCCTGCAGTCTGCAGATGTTTCGCGAAAGACAATGGGCCATTCATGCTTGGCTGCAACATACAAGGCTGCTCGGCAGTATCTTCTGGTGCAGTTTGTCACAGAAGGCTCGCAACAAGATCCCATGACTGGAGCAACATTTTTGAAAGTTGTCGAGCCTGGCATATCAGAAAGATCAGTATGACCTGTTAAAGGAGACAGCGCTGCGATTGTTGCATATCTGAAAAGTGGCAGTCCAAGCGCGACTGAAGAGCGTTCTGGAGCCGGTTTTGGCGATCTCGTTGTTTTTGTCGTTTGCGGTTTTGCTTGCCGGTTGCAACCTTGCATCAGCCAAGAACAGCTTTGCATGAGGCGGATGTAAGAATCTGTGAAGAAGCTATAAGAAGGCAACGATAAGCTGCTGCATGTAATTTTCATCCAGCAGAGCATCTACGTAGTCCTCAGGAACTCCTGCACTCCAGGCCCTTCGTGTCCACAAAATATTCACAGAAAGTCTCCTCGCCGGAGCATATCGAGGCGAGATGGCCGACTGGACATGCGGCCAAGCGCTGCCATGATGACGGCAGAGCTATGTATTCTACTGGTTTGCACTGTTTATGTATCGCAGCCCCCAGGCAGCAGCTGAAAAAGACCTTGCTGCTTGTATTCAGCACCAGACTGAGCACCAGCAAGCTGTTTTTTGGCGGCACCCCTTGCACAAGACCTGGCTGCATCTATCAAATGTGTGCTGACGCTGGAGTGCCCCGCAAAGCGAGCCCGGACAAGCGCATAAATGACAGTCACGAGCTGAAGATTGCAGACTGCAGTCAGATGTTGCTGGTATCTACTCATGGTGCCTCCTTTTTCTTCAAATTGCTGGAATCCAACTCTGAGGCAGTCTTTCTGTTGCTGCCTACAGGAAGGTTGGGGCTCTTGTACTAGACTTTGAACGTACAAGGCTTTCTGCGACAGGAAGCCTTCTGCAACTAGATTGAGCTGTCTCAGCTTCTCTCTACCGCCGCCGATTCTGTTGGAAAGGTCGACCTTTTGCGAGTGGCTCCCTTCTCTGCGCATATGCACCTTTGGATTGGAACTGGTGCTTCTGGACCGGAAGGACCTGGCCCACGGAGCCCTTTGGGAAGCCCTTGGACAGAGGGACCACCACGCTTTTTACGTCGCGGGTCTGTCCCTGTGGGGCGGGCCCATCATCGTCGTCATCATAGCTGTACTCATCGTCGTCGCTGTAGTACTCATAGCTGGAAGATAGCTCTGCTTCGGGCTGCTTTTGGAGGGTAGGCTTCGGATGACGTGCTGGTGGAGAGGGGGGCCGCCGAACCTGTGCAAGGTTGCCAAGATTCCGCGGCAGAGGAGGCTGAGGAGCCTGCCTGTTGCGCTGGTAGTTTGGCACAGGGTCAGGGGTGATGGGACGGCGGATTGGTTGACGTGGCTGCCTTCTGGGCCTGGGCGGTGTTGGAGCTTTGCGCGGCAAGGCCTGCACTGTTCGCCGGGCTGGGGCGGCCTGACGTCTCAGGCGCTGTGGTGGGCTTGGAACGCGCATGGCTGGAGCACGAGCTCTTGGAGGGGAAAATCGTTCTCTCAGACGAACTCCCCTGGTCGGAGGTGTCCGACTACGACTGCGCGAGTCACGCCATCTTCCCTCACGGCCACTGTCCTCGAACCCGCGTGTTCTGTCATTGTGGCTGCGGCCATACCCATACCCATTTGCACGATGGTGCGTGTTACCCTGCCAAGACTCCATGGCATCATGATTGCCGTACCCGCCATATGTAGTGGACTTCTGGTAGTAGCCTCTGTTATCATAGCCATTGCTGTCACGACCTTTACCGCCATAGCCATTGTTGCCGTAGGAGCCACCATTGTAGCCGTTGTAGCCGCGGTTGCCATAGTCACCATGGTCATCCTTGTACCGATAACCATAGCCTCCGTTGCGCCAAGGACTCCAGGACTTGCCATTCTGCTTCCATCGGTCCTTACCGTCATCTAACATGAAGGGCAAATGAATGCGCGCGTTGTTCTTGCACCAACGATTGGTACATTTCCTTCCATTTTCGTCATCTTCTCGAAAGCACACGGACGCCTCACACCACGATTGCTTGCAGCGATGCATAATGTCTGCATGATCTTTGTAGCAGTTATGCTCCATGCGCAACCAGAGCGGGCGCGTGCATTCCTTTGGTAAATGCTTACCTGCATGTTCCACCATAAGGACACAACTCTTCTCAGTCAGCCAATTGTGGCTGAGATGGACTTCTTCCAGGAGATGACAGTGCTTGAAAATGTGCATCAAGTCGTCCTCGACCACATCGTCGTCTATGCAGTTGTGATGTAGCTTCAGGATCTTTAGCCACGGGCACTTGTGGCAGAATCTGGCCACTTCCCGAGCAGCATCACCTTGCAACTTGCACTTTGCGAGGTTCACCTCCGTGTAGTCGTAGAGACCTGGCCAACTCTGAAATGCAAGGCAGCGGAAGTCCAAGAATTGCGAGCCCGCAAAAAAAGAGCCTTGCTCATTGGCCCTCGTCTCCTGCAAGCACCAAGACGGTGCTCAAAATCTGAATACTGCTTCATAACTACAAGAGAAAGACAGACCGAGGGAGGAAGCAGGGAGTGAGCGAGCGAGACTGCGAGAGCACGAGCGCAGGCGACAGAAGGAGAGAGGCAAACAAATACGAATACAGAGACACACACACACGCACACAGGGAGGGAGGGAGAGAGAGCGAGAGACAAAGCAACGAATAGACAGACAGACAGAAAATGACCGAAAGACAGCCAGACGGAGAGGGAGACAGACACGGAGGGAGGCTGGAGAGAGCAAGGTACTGGTGAAATCTGGTGAAGAGAGGGAGAGCGGGCCGGTGAAGAAAACGCGAGAAATGGAGACTGAGTGAAAGGGGGAGAGATTAAGAGATACACACTAACGCAGGGCACAGTCAGAGAAACAGGGAGAAACAGCTGGCAGCCGAAGCACAGTGAGAGGCAAACCAAAGGAGATAACATGCCCAGCAAGTGCATGTAGAAAAGAAGGGCAGCATCCAAAACCCAGTCCCGGTTCGCCGTCCTGTTCCAAGTACCACTGGACATCCGACAATTTCTTCATCGGCTTTCCATTGAGATCGAGAATCTGCAGGCAAGAGCTGGACATCACAACAGCATGCAGATTTCCTTTCCCTTCATAGCAAGCCTTTGCGGGCGCGTTCTCCTTGCGCAACAGGACTTTAGAGTCAGAGATCCATTTGTGTGCCAATTGCACGACCATGCAGCCAAACCACTGCCCAATGATCCGGCGTGTCACGAGCAGGCGGAAGGTTGGATCTACTGACTGACTCGTTGTCATCTTCTTCTGCCATCCTTGGCTGACTAGCCGACTAGCGCTGCAAGCGCTGCAAGATGCTGGGCAAGTGCATCAAGCACATGGGATCTTCTCAGTGTCCAGCTGATCGCCAGGGTGACCTGATCAAACATGCACCTCCTAGTCTCAAAATGGCAACATGACGTGCAGCTAAGAAATCAAAATGTCTGGGTTGCGTCACTTGGCTGGCTTTCTGCATGCTCCTGGCAAAAAGCTGCGCCATACAGCAACCAAACCTGCGGCTTCTGGGTCAGTCCTCCTGCACTGCATCGGGAGCGTCACCATCCAGTCCATCCCCAGCATCCGTCTGGAGGTTGCCCTGTCGAATCTCCATCTGACCCTACACCCAAGAAATCGGCTTTCTGCTTGCCAGCTTCCCAACCTGTGACTGATCACAGGTGTCATAATCGACCGCGTCTGCATCGACGTCGCCGTCTGCTTCCTTTCCAGCAAAGCAACATGATACCACCTGTTCACGGAGGCTACGCTCCAGTGTTTGCCTAATCACTGACAAAGCTATGAGATTCAGCTCGAGCGCAGCCTCTTCCTCCTTGACATCCATCAATGCCTGCCACTATAAACGCAAGCGACCAAAAAAGCGAATTGCCAGAGCATGTCAGCTGTGGCAGCTGCACCCAGAGAGTGCCCAGCCGGCCCTGCCTGTCCGGTTTCTTGCTCCTCGGTAGCCTGCAGGGTTCAAGAAGTTACGGTTCACGCTGCAGAATGCGCAGCGGGGCTTGTTCCGGTTTACTTGAACTAGCAGTTATCCGAAGATGCCTCTTCTGCCATCTTGGCAACGGGTGAGGCAAAGACCCCAGAAACCAGGAAACAGTAAGACTGCGCACTAATATGGATAGCTCCTGGTTCAGTTCGGATCCCGAAGGTCAAGGCCGGAACTCACGGCTACGTGTTGCTGTTGGTGGTGCGAATCATGTTTCTTTCGATCTTGAGCCAGAAGGCTGTGGAAGGAGGCAAACCACGACTGAGATGAATGGCAAGGTTGGCTGCTGAAGGCCTGACTATCGAACTTGCACCACAAGACTATTCATCCAATTCATGGCCTGGTCTGTCAAAAGAAATAGACAACCAGTGTTTTGAAGCATGAACTGCTGCTGCGAGCAGAGCCTTTTGATTTGGATGTTAGGACGGTTGCTTACTGAAGCTGTCGCTACCGCAGCTTAAACAAACACATTGAAGAAGAGCTGGTATGAAACAAGAGTGTGTCATAGTGTGCCAGCTGGCATGAAACAAAACAGAAGACTGACAGACATGTTCGGCTACCTGGTCACCGGACGCAAGCCGTGGCATGTCGTCGCACTTCTACTGACGAAGCGGGCATCAACAAATGCCTTCGTTTTCCTGCGTCCAGCCTGCCAAGCGTATATACATTGGGCAGGTTGGGAAGGTGGCCCAGTCCAAACAACCGTTGACGGAACCGCGGAGCCAATATGCCACAACAACACCAAGCGCTCTTTTGTCATTGCTTTGACTAGTTGCTGCCGTCTTGAGCACGCAACGTTATAGTACCATAGTCTTGCAAATTTTCGCAGAGCTTGGCTGCCGCTCTGCAAACATCATGCGTTGAACCCTGTTTCAAGCGCCTGTGCGGTTTCATATCTTTTTTTCGAACGCTATGACAAGGCTTGAAGGTGGTTGTTTTTTGGGTAGCCTTTTGTATGTCTTCTTGGAGCTCACGTTGAGCTCTCGTAGTGTCGTCGGCAACATCGTCATCTTCGCAGGCGTTGCCGCCAGCGCCGTCAACGTTGCGTCCATACAATTGCATCATGAAGAGCATTCACGCCAGCGCTTCAAAGTTCCACAATGGCCTAGCCAGGACGATTAGAAGGCCAGTCGCGCTGAAGACTTGTGAAATGTCTTGCTCAGAATGCAGCTGGGGATTCTGAGCCTCCAACTGCATTTCAGAGGCCTCGCTGTTGTTACAACCAGATGACCGACAGGAACATCCCAGCCGAAGACATGCCAAGTTTGACCCGCAACGTCCAGAAAAAAAAACTCTGGCAACATGATACCATGAAAGGCATATCACAAGGTCGCAAGACTGCCGCAAGTTTTTCCTCTGCACTTGCATGCCAGGCGCACAGCTGGCGCCCAGAGGCATCACTTTATTTTCCCAACTGGAATGCTATCCTCCCCGAATTCGATGTCTGTCTTGACGCTTCTTGCTCACCACATGCTTGTAGTGAAGGGCCCTTCTGGTCTCCGGCAGCACAGATCAGAGATGGCAGCCGTCTTGCAAAGCACCTGCTGTTGACTACAACAGCATGTTAAGATGTTTTGACTGCTCAGATGATGCCCAGTTGAGTGGCCACTGGCCAGGCCTGATTACCGAAAGATCCGAGGGCTGCTTCCTCGAAGCTTCTCCCGGACCACTAATGTCCTTTACTGCAAGGGTCAAGGGTCCTTTGCCAAGACAACGCAGCTGCGCCACGACTGCCAGCACATGCATGACAAAATGCAGCTCGTATCACAGTAAAACCCAGAGACCCACCCTGGCCTGTAGGCTCAATTCGAATATCACGCAATGTCTCAATTTCTTACCAGGTTGCATCGACAAGGCAAGTTCAAAGGTCTCGGGCTTGCCCTCTCTGTCTCCACCTTCTCCAAGCCAGATCCGTCAGCACTAACCTTGCTGTAATTCCGCTGTGATGGGCGAGAAGCTCAGCGACGTGGCCATGTAACAGGGAACAGCAGTCCAAACGCCCGGTGGGATATCTCTGTTTTGCAGACTCCTCGCTTTTGCGGTGCCTTGCTGTCTCGCTTAATGTCATGGAAAAAGGCAGCCACAATGTCACAAGCTCTGTTAACAAGAAACTGCAACTCAGATGTGGGCTCCTAGGACGGCACACATGGACTGCTGCTCGAGGATTGGGTGTTCAAAGCATGGCTTGGTAGGCAAACTTGTAAATGTAGCCTCAAAGCATGAAGTGAGATCTTGCAATGCCAAAATTGTATTGGTCAATGTGGTCAGAGCTCTTCACCAAGCCACGACCCCATGGATGTTCGGAGTCAACACGAAGATGCCAGGAACCACCAAGCTGCTCGAACCACGCGGTTTTTTGCGTGCGCTTCTCTGCAATGTGGTTCTCCAAAATCTGCGCCTTTGTTGCCGTCGTCAAAAGCTGCACGACATGTGACATGTCTCTTTGCAAGTGACAGCAACTGAGAAGCGAAAGGACACCCAGGGAAGCGCTCTCTGAATAGGCCTGATGCCGCCGATGCACTGAAAGGATTCGCGGGTCAGTGCCCAGGGCTTGAAAACTGCCTGTGGCGCCAGACAGTCTGCAAGTTCATGCAAGCAGTGACCTTGGCAAGACTTGAAGCACCACCGGGTCCTTTGGAAAGCTTGGAGCGCACCACTTCTGCAACAACCTTAGGCGGGACTGATCGGCTGCTTGGCAGTCCGAGGGCACTACTTTCCGCAAACGAAAGCAGAAAAAGCAATGCCTACACCACACGCGCCCCTGATATGACATCAGCCGGGGATGCTGTGGACATAGGATCAAGCAGGTTTCAATTTGTTGTTCGCATGCATGTTTCGTGTATTGGCGGAGACAATGCCAGATTCGTTGGCAATCAAAGTCAAAACCCTCGATAGCCAAACTCCTGCGCATGTTCACTCCATTTGCAAGGTAGCGCGATGGGAGTGAGCTTCATGTAGCGCATTCGCCTGTCTACTTTGTCTCCCAACTGGGTAGGCACTTGGAAGCAGTGTTCAGGCTTGAATCCTGGACACAAGCGCTGAGAAAAGTCATTAGGGCCTCTGTCGGAGGTGAGCTTTGAGCACCTGAGACAAATGCCATTGCCTTCTCGCCTTCGACACGCATTGCACAGCGCCTTGAAAATCGCGTCGCAGAGCGCAGGCTGTGATTCCCGTGCACATGGAAAGCAAGCAAATACCCAAGCAGGGATGTCCGCTTGCAGTTGACAGAACATGCTTTGAGTGTTCCGCCCGCTTTGCGCAATGTGCTAAGAGTCAACACCGACTAGTTCGTTCGAGGCTCAATTTCTGGCATCCGTGTATTGCTCCCCAACACACACTGCAGCTGTTCTAGCCCTCGGCAAGGGGCATGTAGGCAATCCACAATCAAAGAAAGGTGCTGCCATTCCGCATGACCTGGAAAACAAAGCTGATTTCTCAGCAATACGGCGCCAGCTGTCTCCTAAAGGCGCATGCAGTCCCGACCTGACATCTGAACCTCCGGCATTCTGAGCATCTTCACCAGCGCTCGATAGCTTCTTCCCATTTTGGCGCGAAAGCGGCCAAGGCTGTCAAGAGGAGCACCTTCAGGCTCGCGCTGCCAAAGCTGCGCCATGTCAAGCGTGGTACCCAAAACCAGCTGCCTAGAATGGCCACTTTCACCGCTCGCAGCGCCGACACCAAAACGAGTCTGCTCTCAGCAGACTCTGGCCATACACCTGAGAGACAAAAAAGCATTCATCACACGCATCCTCTCGCTATGTCATGGCTGCCCTTGCGTCCAAACGGTGGAGGGTTTTTTTTTCAAAGGGTTGGCTCCACCTTTTTTTTTCCAAGGGTTGGCTCGACCCCGCCCTCTCGTTTCCTTGTAACTGTCATCATTTTTGGGCTCTTGGATGCGAAAAGTGTCAACTGTCACA